TTACACTTCTCTTCACAAATTCATCATTAAACAAGTGTGAAGTGTCGCTGGTGGCCCAAAGCTCAAATGCCGTACCTTTGTTCACGTGGCACACCGAGCAGCACCTAAAGGTAAGGACTATGGTTTCTCCCAGCCACTGACTGCTTTCATGTACCTACGTACATATTTTGAATGAGATTTTGCTTTGAAACACCGTCATTCAGCCATTTCTTTTCATTTGTCGTTGTTCGTGTCTCTTGTCACTGTGACCATTTCTCTTAATTATGGCAGGATGTTCCGACAATTGTACTGGAAAGCGAAATAATGATGGTTTGATTAAAGACTCACAAACTTCATACAATATTCAGAACAACTTTTATCTGATTTCAAGAGAAATAGATTTTCTGTTGGCATTACAAACCTTTATTTTGATTGATACTTTGAGAATAAGGATCTGTCGCATCGTGCCACTGAAAGAAAAAAAGTTGGGAATCGCGAATTCTACGGTGTTTGGTATTATAAAACGGTTCGAAGAACGTCTGACTGTTGATTGGAATCGAAGATCCGGATTAGCTGACACTTCGCTTACTTCATAGAATATACAAAGAATTCCAACATTTATGCAAACAATTAAAATCACATACTAATTAATAACATCTCATTCGCTTATGACAATATCTTATCCACAACAAATTGAGATATTTTTGATCATTTTGAAAATCATCCTTTGTGTAAAGTTTACCCGACACACGAACTGCTTTATTTTCGTCTTTGAAAAATGAACCATAACAACCGAAGCAACTGTTGGTCCTTTTCCTTTCTACCTTAAACAAGCAGATTTAGCTAAGTGGTCAGCACCAGTCGTGTAAACGAGCTGGGCTCAAGACTCGTTGAATCCATACTGTAGCTTTTTTTTAATTTTGATATTGCTGTAATAGGGGAAATGGATGTAATGTTGGCCTAAATACCCTTAATTTGACCCATATATAAATTCAGCAACTGACTAAATTTTTATTAGTGACCAAAAATATCTATTAGTATCGTCCCAATGACGCGTTCATCTAGATACAATTGATAAATTGCAGATTTTTAGCGATGGGCCCATTGTTAAATCCATAGGCCAATATTAGAGCCATTTCCCCTAGTTCAATATGATATTGGTTTGTTATTGTGGTGCTCAAAAACTCTGTTATTCATGAGATATGTCAATAGCTTATTTTGCTATTACTCAATTCTTAGCCCATAGGTTTTCCGGTATTATTTTTGATAATTTACCTCTTATACTGTTCAAAACATTAGCGAAAAGATTTCTTTAGATTTCCTATTCTTAATGTCGAATTTGCTATTGGTTAGATGTTTTATTCTATTCGGGATGCTACTGCAGCAAAGATCTGAGAAAGTTTGAACGGAAATTGTCATGTCTATTATTGCAATTTATACGTAGAGATTAGTGCACACTCAACCTATTTACTATGGCATTAACAATTGATATTTGTTCACTGGTTGAATTTTGTATGATTCCTTGTAGCGTCCTTTTTCACATTACACAAGTCATAATATTAAGATTTTTCTGAGTGCCCGAAGCTGAAGCAAATACGTGAACTGTGATAATCGAAAGAACTCTACAAGGAAACACCATAAGCAGGGATGCTTCCGTCTATTAACGTCTCTTTAAACTGTTCCCCTGGTAGAGGAATAAGCAGGGCTGCTTCCACTCACTTTGCTGTAAAAAAATGCAAAACATACAAAACAATCAAAATCGCTGATTCTGACTCTCTGAATGTGAAATTTACAATACACAAACACATACTTTTTTGTAGCTTCCAATCACAAAATATCAGTATAGGATCCAATGATTTTATAATTTCGAATATATTTTTTTATAGTGAAGTGTGTGGAAGAAATAAGGGCTAGTGTTTTGGTATCTGGAATTGACGCCTGTGCTATGAATTATATCGGCTAGTATGTCCTTATTCGATAGTCATGGGAAGCAAGCACGCACAGTTCGAAAAAGTAGTGTTAATTTCTGTTCAGTATGATGCACATAAATGGAGCGTCAAATATCATATAAGTTTACGTTATATATCATGTAAAGTTCGGAGACATTTCATGCAATGTAGTAAATATTGTATACAAAAGCCCATTGTTGTAAACAATATTGTTTACAAGTTGCTCGGTTGCGTGAAATTAAATACAAGTTTACGTGAATTAATGTTTTCATCACTATTAAAATTCAGAATTTTTATCTGTGCGTGGTTGGTTGATGTACAAAAGTTTACCGATTTGTGAATTAGTGAACTAGTGACAAATTCAGGTTCATCCTCTGAATTTGTTTTTTAAATGCCAATAGGTATTCACAAAAGTGGTGCTGGTGGTGTAGTGGTCAGCACGATTGCCTCTCACTCCAAAAGGCCTGGGTTCAAGGGTAAGGTCCAGGCTGATCACGCCATCCTTCGGAAGGGAAGTAATTGGTCCCGGTGATGGATCGATAGGTAAGGTCCAAGGTGGGAGCTACCTCCCTGGCATTGGTATTGGTTGCATTGGTACTCGGTACGGAAAACAAGATCAACGGAAAACAAATCAAGGAAAAAATGCATCCAAAAAACAATCGCTTCTGATTTTTTTGGCCGTTTGCTCATGGTAACGGATGACAAATTCATCGTGCGTCATAATTGATTAATTTCAATGAGAGAATATATAAAATTACACGTGCATGTAAATTCACATGTTTATGAATTGAAAAATGAGTGCGCTGAGATTTATTTTTCCTGCGCTATGTAAATATACATGCTAATTGATATTTAACAAATAAGTAGACTATTTTAATGCATTTCTCACATGCAGTCGGTTTACAGCAACTGTAATTATCATTATTTTTTTGCTGTTTTGAAAAATTGCTTTAGCCCGACACACACTTAGAAATAACTACTTTTACACGAGACGTATTCTATCTTCTTCTTCTTCTTGTTCGCATTTCAAGCTTATTGCTTAGTGCATATGAGCTTATTGCGTGCTCTCAACTTAGTGTTCTAAATGCACTTCCTCAGTTATTAATTGAGAGCATTCGATGCCAATTACCAATGCATGAATTTGTATATTGTGTGGCAAGGACAATGATACTCTATGTCCAGGGCAGTCGAGAAATTTTCCAACCCGGAAGATTCCCTCAACCGGACCGGAAATCGAACCCGACGTAATCCATATTGGACGTAAATCATAGAACGTAAACAAACATTTCATGTAAAATTAAGTGTTCTCAAACCGAAACATAAGCTAGTCGACGAAGAGAACGTTTGATTGAATTGATTTTCACGTTTCTTTCAGCTGATTCTTATGTCAAAAGGCCCGCTTACATGTGCCGGTCTCAGGGAACCGAAATTTACATGACTTTTTAGTAGTGTGCAATTTTAATAGAAAAGTTAGATCCAGTCAAGTTAAGTTAGAATTCAATTGTGGTTTCCTAATCTAGTTTTTCATGCAAAAAAAAAGAAAAGAAAACGATTACATTTCAAACAACTTCTAGGATTTAATCACGTTTAAAAATGATGTAAATGTTATTTCCCTGCTAAACTTACATTTCAGACCATAGAGCAATGGTTTCAAAAGTTAGCCCTTTGCCACCTTAACAGTTATACCTCTAGGGTGTTTGTACGACAGCTGTGATTTTTGTCCAACAAAAACACTATCCTGCCCCAGTGTGCGTCAAGTGAATACCGCTTAGAGATCTATCAACTGAGGCAGCTTAAAAAGCGCACGTCCATTCGTCTTCGTACCAGAATGGAACTCTAAACAGAGTTGTGTACAATGATCATCCATCAAAAGCAATAATACAGAAAACTAACAATGTAAATATGAAGTAGAACAATCAGCATAGATCCAGCCTACGATAAAAATTCAGAAAATTCTACAATTGCAATTAAACCAATATCCTACACGAGGAGTTGAGGTGGTAGAGCTGAAGGTTTACTTCGATTTTAAACACACGACACTTTGCGCTTCCATCGTAAATTTCACGCAAACTACAAATCAATCACATAACTCAAATCAATTAACGTGATTTCGTTTTCATTTGCGAGAAAGCATAATAGTCCCCCATGGAATTTTTTTTTATTAGAAATGAGTTATCCATTCGAATGTATTGTAAACTACCTGTATTTTACACTGTGCACTAAAAGTCACATGCTTTGTTTAAATTTTGTGTGTGAAAAATACCAAATCTTCCCATCCGTAAGAGTCTAAGGATAAATTACATTTTCAACAACGTTTTTCTCGGCTTGCTGTTTTTTTCCAGATAGGATTGATGTGCTTTTATAGACAGTGTCCTTCTCATGTGAATATGTAACTTTTTGTCATTAGGAAAGTATTCTTGATTACAGATTAAAGACGACTAGATAACCATATGAAGCAAATCGTTATGCAGTTAATTACCGTTTATGCCTTTTAAATTCCAGCAACTTTAAATCAACAACTTGTCCGTGCACTATCATTCCAGTTTTGCATGTTTGTCTAGTCAGGTAGAAACTTCTATCGAGCACTTAGCAAACCCACAACTGAGCAACGCTTGTCGGTTGGAATGAAATTAAATCCAAATATTTTCCGGCAATTACCAAGAGTGTTCGTAGCTGAAATTACAGTCATCGCCCATTACTGGTGCTATGCTCTTTCGTTGTGTCGATTCATCCATTACATTTCATCCTTTCTACCTGTTTGTCGGAAGAATTTATTGCACTTTTATGCTTCCGTAACGATTTCCTACACTTTCCTTTTGGCAATGACAACGAGGGTGTGGAGGAACCTGACAAACCGGTGGTGGCAGTTGGGAATTCGTGGAAGGGCGTCACCAAAAATGAACAATTTTGAATAATGATATAGATTCACAGACCTACAGATTACTTTGCTGAGGATAGTTGCAGTGAAATGGAAGAAAATTGTGCCACTTATTTTTTTGTGCCAAATCAGTCGAGCGTGTAATGTTCAACAGTAAAGTCGTTAGATAATTTCAATTCAGTGGTGTAGACAAAATGAGCAAATTTTATGTAAGTGTGTTTTACGTTCATAGATCCTTTAGTCTCCTTGTGTTCTATTGCTTCGGGTTGTGACAAAAACATTGTGCCAGAGGAATGTTTTTATAATTATATTTATATGTGTATTGCTGTTGATCCTTACGTCTTCGAGAATATTCTGTTTTATCCTTAATTTTGAGAATGGAACGTATGGATTGTGATAAAGATGTACACATGTTGTTCAGCTTATGTGAGGATGCATTGTTTTTAGAAAGTGCTTGCACCTGTTTGCAGCATATATTTCAGCCTGGATAAAGTGGTGTTTGTGAAGTATGCGGAGTATTTTATCGTCATGTCGTACATGTATGATTTATAGCTAGTTAATTTTTTATTGACTGAAATGTTGAGACTGGTTAGTAAAAGTAGTGAATACTTAAACTTTGGTTTGTGATTGTAGTAATAATTTACCTACATTTTGTTTCTTTTTTCAAAGCATACAAAGATGACGGTTGGAATATGCTGGTCGTAATGAGGGGCTATTCAAAAACCAACTAGATAGTTTAGGGAAGGCGATGTGGTATCAAGCGTATACGTTCTATACAAATTTTAAAACTTGTGAATGAACGGTTGGCTACGCAGAGGAAGAAGGGGGCTAATATTGCTCAAAAAGTATCTAAGTAGTATATGGACAGCCCCTTAAGTAAATGAAATGATGAATTGTTTGCAATTTCGGAGTGATTATGATGTAATTTTGCCTAGAAATCAGCCATTCCTTAGCAAAACGATATAGCGGTTCTCGAAATTTCGTAAAAATTGGTAGTTGTGTTCCTTATCGCAAAATATTAGACCCGTATTTTTTTTTATTTTGTCATTAGGGTGACCATGTCCATGTTAGGGTGGTCCAAGATTTTCTGTCCCTAATAAAATTAACGACAAGAAAGAACATAACGACGTGTTTGGGGTATCATCTAAACCATTTGTGGAATAGTTCTATTATTTGGGTTATCTTTTGTTTATGGTATATTTTTATTAGTGGTTCTACACTAAAAATTCATGTAAATTTCGGTTCCCTGAGACCGACACATGTAAGCGGGCCTTTTGACATAAGAATCAGTTGAAAGAAACGTGAAAATCAATTCAATCAAACGTTCTCTTCGTCGACTAGCTGATGTTTCGGTTTGAGAACACTTAATTTTACATGAAATGTTTGTTTACCTACTATGATTTACGTCCAACATGGATTACGTCTCGTGTAATAGTAGTTATTTCTAAGTGTGTACATCTCGATACAATACCAGACAAAAGAATATAACATCGTGATTTTTTTTTCACTTTAACTTTTCAACATGTACTGAATTTATCAAATTGTGTGGTGGGTTTTGATCATTTATTCTTGATTTTTCTGTATATTTTTGAGCTTGGTTGGATGAGTCTATATGCAGTTTAAGGTATTGTAGTATAGTAAAGAGTTTTCCTAGAATTTCTCATACCTCATGTAGACTCATCTAGTCATGTCGATTTTTTTTGAATAGTTGATCAACCAGCAGCCCACATTTGAATAATTTTCATACAGGGTTTGCATGCTCTTTTTTTTCACAAATTGCTCATTTTTTAATTACTTTGCACTCTCTTGAAACATGTTTTTTTTTTCTCATGCACTCTCTTGAAACATCTATTAATCGAAAGTTTGAAGTTCATATAGGTACGTTAAACAAAGTAGAATAGTTTTCAAGCAGAAAGCTGTTGCAATTTTTCCGTCATAAAAAACGAGAAGAGAAATAATCACTGCTCATTTCGGACTTTCAATGAAAAAACTCATTTGTGTGAATTTAAATGATTTAACTGCTCTATGCATGTCTACAGTGAACTTTGATCCACGTTTATCCATTGATTTAACTAAGCTTCATCAACTGAGTGAAAATATATAAACAAAGGTGCAATTTGTGTAAAAAAAGTGCAAGTCAACTAGACCTTTGCGCCGTTAATTGCATCGGTGGTGGCGTCGTAAAAGCTATTTTAGCCGCGGTGGGTTACTTTGGTGGCCGTAAAAATATAAAATTTTCAACATGGATTCAAGTAAGGTAACATAAAGTAAGGTAACATAAATTGCGTTAGTGTTTGTGGCATATTATAGACAACGCTATTTGTAATTTACTTTCGACACACTATTGTATCTTTTCGGAACTCGATATGTGTGAAGATATTGAACAATTTACTTTGTTATTATACTATACTATTGACCTTAGTTTTAAAATTTTCTTTGTAATTTTATACGTCACATGATGGGTTTTGGTTTGAGACTCTGACCATTTCTCGGGGGAATTTGGAACGTGTCCAGAGGTGGCCAATGTGATTCTGGGCACTCGATATAACTACCGAACTGTTTTTTTTCTTCATGTTATGTTTACGTCCAGATTTTTTATTTCCACTGTGGCATTCGGAATATATCTGATATAATGTGGATATTGGCACTCGATGCGGCTTGTTTTCAAATTATCATGTAGTTTTATGTGTTACATGGCAAGTTTGAGCTAATCTCATAACCTCCTGGGGGATTTCTGCAGGAAGCTATTACTGAACACGAGAACCAGCATGAAAATTAAATATCTTTGCAACCTGTTACTTTTACCATTGATGCAGAATAGCTTTGTAAAGCAAAGCGTCAAATATGATTAAACTAGATCGTCAAAATTAAAAAATTCAGAGCCAACATTTCAAAAGGGCGTAATTGCTTTCGTAAACAATGGCTTTAGATGTTGATTTCTCGCAAATTAAAACCCATCCCTCCAAATTACAAATGCTAGCTGATACAGGAAACATTCCTCTGTGTGCTGGTGTCATTTATTTTCATGAGTGAGCTTTCATTCGCGAGAAATCGACAACTAAAGCCATTGTTTACAAATGCATTTACGCCCCTTAGAAATGTTGGCACTGAATTGTCAGATTCAACCAAAATTTAGGGGATTTGGCAGCTGTATTATACCTCCCGAAACGTGTTTGATCATTGCAATTATGGTCCTAGGAACTTTCTACCCATGTGTCGTAAAATGTTTATTATTATTTGTCGTAAAGTTTCACATGCTTGTTAAATTTTCTGATTTGGTGGAGTTTGCGAGAAATACTTCTTCTAAAATTTTTAAGCATATTAAAGCCATACAACGTCGCCATATTGAAAATAATATAAAGTAAAAAAGTATCTGTGGCGGTGGCTTGGCGTGCTGGCGCACATGTCTAATGCTGAAGAGTTACAGCTCATTGAACATTTTCTGAGAAATCACGATGTTATGTAATTTTCTTCGGTGCTGAATATCTATAGGAAATCACTCCCATATGCACATTTTTGTTGAATATAAGACTTTCTTTTTTTTTTTTTTTTTTTTTTTTTTAATTATAGTCACTTTAACGCTCTTGGGTCATTCGTGACTTGTCCGGGGGTGAGATTTGAACTCGTGACTTTGGCGTGAGAGGTATGGATGCTAACCACTACGCCGGGGTCGCCCCCTAAAGTAAGATAAGACTTTCTTTTAAACATTTTATAATGTGATTACCCTATTTTTTTTCAGAACAACATCCTGATTGGAGTGGCATTATTGACCACTTTCATTCAGGCTACCCCAGTCGTGCCTGAGAAAAGACTTAAACGAAGTTTGTTACAAGCGCTGTTCGGAGCAGCACCTATAACTACTACAGAAGCACCACTACGTATTACGACCCCTGAAGTGGACATGGTGATGGAATTCTTAGAAAGCGGTGAGCCAGTTTATCTCATGCCTACAAAACAGGATCCGGAAAATCCGCCAACATTTATACCGATGATGCCATTGCGATACTTTGCATCGCCTTCTGGTTTACATTTCATTGCAGTTGAACCTATCAACTTCACTCCAGAAAACCAGTATATTCAACACGAAGGAGCTGAACAGCAGTGGCAACCGAATTACATTCCAGTAACCTCTAAAAATGTACCGACAAAAATAAACAACAATATTCCCCCACACCTAAAAGGACTGAGTAGCTCTGAAATTCGTGAGCTAAATGTTCTAGCGAAACAGATTGGAGTTGAAAATTTAGATGACTTGCCGCCGCTGGAAGAGGTAATGTCATTGCTTGGAACGACAACTAAAAGTGAGACGATTGAGGCTATCCGTGAATATGCATCCACTCCCACAGGTTTGGATTTGATTCGAGATTACGTTATGAGTTATCAACCTGTTAAACGAATGGATACTGTGAGACCTGATGGCCAGTTCGATGAAAAAAAATCTATTGAAATGCAGGGCAAATACCCAAGCGAAAATATGATGTATGTCAATCATCCAGTACCAATTATAGGTTACACTATTCCGAGCGAGCAACAACCTATGCAAAAACCAAAACCAACGTCTGAAGCACCAAATCAAGGATTATTTTCAAGATTGCGTTCATACCTTGGCTTCGGATCGCACTCCCAGCCGGCTGAAGAAGTGCCAAATCCTAATATATTAGTTAACGGTCAATCCGAGTTTAACCTTATTCCTCACATTGTAATCCCTCTTCGACATTGGGCACCAATGGATGGTTCAAGTGGTTATGCATTAGAAGACCTGCAACACTATCCAATGACACCTTTAATTCAGGACACGAGCCCGTATGTGCTAAAGCCTGAAACGATTCAATATGCCAGTATTAATGCGCCTGTCTATGATTCAATGGATCCAAAGCTTAATGAGGCGCACATTTATCAGGATGACGTTCACAACAAACAGGACATCAAAGATGAAGCTTCAATTGCAAATCAGAAACCTGTAAGAATCTCTCCACCGGAAGAGCAAACCGGACAACTCCACAAAGCGGACATTGACAAAGCTGATTTACCACTAACTATTAAATCGATAGACCAAGCAAAGCCAGAGATAATTACTCCAGAACCCACCACTGAAGTTATTGCTACGGAAAATGTTGAGTTTAATGAAACTACAGAACCAATGACCACGGATGGTACAGTGATAAGTGAAAATATATAATTTGAAAACAAACGTACCCTAGGAACACAGTTGCCATAAGTACAATAGTTATGGTTAACCTTTTTATGAGCCGCTTGTGAGGAAGGCGTAATGAGTGTCTGCATTCAGTTGAAACAAAAAGTGCCACGTGGGTTAAAGATTCTTCAAAATCAAAGAATAAATTCCTGGAGAAGAATGTTAGAATTAATAATTTATTTATATATTAATAATACGAGTTACACAGTATTTGAATTGAATTAAAATTTATAACTACCAGAGCGTTTTATTATTTCAACTATTAATTTTAATGCCCTAGACAATCCATTCTCGTTTCAGTAATCAAAATTACCCATATCTCGAAATAATTATCAATTCAGTGATTCGATACCAATAGCGGAAATTAACTGTGGATAATAACCTATTTACCTTTATTACTGATTTAAATTTCAGAAAAGTCTTTCAAAATCAGAAGCCTGGCAGTTTAAAATTAGTTACATGTGAGCAGGATGCGAGAAATAAAAAAAAATAATTTCTGGGGAATTATGAGGATAGAAGGAAAAATCGAAAACCATTGAAATTGTCCAAATCTGCAGCTGCGGACGAAAAGTCCTGAAGTAATCGCGAATTGGTCAATATGGGCTACATAAAACCAGTACCACCATCCGAAAGTACTTGAACGGCAAGACGGCAACTTTCTATATGTCCATGATCACGAGATATTCTGTGTTGTTGTCATATATTATAGCGCCCGTCACAAGGGTAATATGAAAATGTAGTGCCTCTAGCGGCGTAGTTCCCAAATAAACATATATGTAATGACTCAAGCTTGTTGGTCTAACCCAGTTCAACAACTTTGTCGAAGACATTACAGCACTATATAGAAACAATTTTTTTATATAAACTTTATTTAGGAGATTTTAAGTCATGGGCTAGTTCATCTCCGCAAACTAATGGAATAATCCACCACAGCTCCTATTAGGTAAAATCTCATTAGCTGTGGATTGGGTATCCTTATTGGTGGTTCCATAATTACGCTCCCTAGTAACCGGGAATAAGGATCCCTGATTGAATTTGTAATATCAAGAGCCACATGTGAAAAGGGCATGCAAGCTTTTTGTAAACAAACCTTTATAGGCCCTTTTCTCGCCAACCGACGGTCACTCACGCAAACCAACAACATCATCGGGAAGGGGAAAGCTTCCCCCACCCGCTAATGTTAATGGTTTGCGTTGGTGTCATATGAGTGTCGAGAAAAGGGCATAAGAAGGTTTGTTTACAAAAAGCTTGTATGTCCTTTTCACATGTTGTTCTTGATATATTGTATGGCGAACAAAGTACTGTTTTTGTTGAGTTGTGCTGTGGTAATTAATACATAATTTCGTGTGAAATAGTGCCGTGTGCCGCGAAAGGATTAATCCAACGCGTGCCTGTTGTGTTTTTTAAACAGGCAGTAGGAGCAGTGGTGGCACGAGTCCTGGAGTTTAACATTTTTTCCTTAACATTTGATACTTTTTGCAATAACCATTTTGACGACACACAAAAACAAACTGGCAAGCTGCAAAAATGTCATGACATTTCTAAACTGTTTTCTGCCAGCGACAGAACATTTTCGCACAAAGAAGCAGATAAGACCGGCGGCGCGCGCGACATAAATTTATGTCGTGTAGAATTTTGCTGATTTCTGGCTAATTACTGCATTTATTTGATGTTTATTGCATGGAATTAAAAGATAAGAATGAAGACTGACCACTCATAAGCATTGATGTTAAAATTATGCGTAAATAAGGGAGTTGGTAATTTACTGTCACACGCAAGCCTGCAGCTAAAATTTCATTACAATAAACTGTTTGGAAAAATCAGGCTGCGAGATTTTATTTATTCTCTATCTCCGCTGTTCGCTTGGAATGTAGTTATAAACGGCCGCCCGTGTGCTGGCTGTTTTGTTTCGCTCTGGACGATGGTTTTTCAAAAAATGTACTGTTGCCACCTCTGGTAGGAGAACGGTTGCCCTAGCAGCTTGTTCTCGTTTAGTTTTGCACTTTCCCCCCGGCGTGCTTTTGATTTTGTATAGTGAGCTGTGGCGGTAAAATTTCATTTTGTGTTATTTTCCTCTGTACATATATGCAGAATTTTCATCGGTTGACTGGGAGCAGCTTCTTCAGGGGCACTCTGTCGATGATATTGTTCTTCTGTTTTACGACAAGCTTTACGAAATTCTCCACTTGAAGGTCTCTCGACGCCGCCCTGCTATTAGTGGAGCCAACAGGAAGCCCTGGTGGTCCATTGAGTTAAGAAACCTGCGCAACAGACTGCGTAAAGCACGTAAACGATTCTTCGCTAACAAAACCATTGAAAACCGAGAATCGCTTCACCTTGTGGAACTGTCCTACAAAGAGCTCGTAGCATCAAGCTACCATGAATACATGCAGAGGCTGCAATCGAATTTGAAACAAAACCCATCAATGTTCTGGAGGTTCGTGAAGCAACAAAGGGCAAGCAATCGTGTTCCGGACAATGTCAAGTATGGTGACGCTTTGGCCTGCTCTTCTGAAGAGGCAGCTAATCTTTTTTTGACCTTCTTTCAAAGTGTGTTTAATGCGGAGTCGCCCCAACCTCACCCGGGTTGTTTTCAAAATGTGCCATCCCATGATATCCACCTTCCTTTGTTCAATTTTTCTCGTGAGGAAGTGTTGAGAGCGTTAGCCAAACTAGATGCGTCGAAAGGAGCCGGAGTCGACGGTTTAACTCCAACACTGCTAAAGAATTGCGCCGAGTCTATAGTTAAACCTTTGAAACCTGGAGTTCCACAAGGGAGTGTGTTAGGTCCATTGATCTTTGTGCTCTTCATCAATGACTTGTGCCTGCAAATATCTTCTGGAAAGTTGTTTTTTGCCGACGACCTCAAAATCTTCAGAGTCATCAAGTCTGTTTTGGACTGTGTTGCTCTGCAGATTGACATCGATGCCCTTTCACGATGGTGCAAGGAAAATGGAATGTGCGTGAACATCAATAAGTGCAAGGTGATCACTTTTAGCCGTTGTTGGATTCCCATCAATCATCTTTACAATATTGACACTGCTCCGCTGGAACGTGTGCAGTCTATCCGTGATTTAGGAGTTATCATGGATTGTAAGCTTCGATTCAACGAACATATATCCACCGTTACTGCCAAAGCCTTCTCCGTTCTTGGGTTCATTCGCCGCAATGCATCTCAATTCACCGACGTGCACACATTAAAAGCCTTGTTCTGTGCTTTAGTGCGAAGTATCCTGGAATATGCTGCTCCCATTTGGGCACCGTACCATACATCTCAGGTGATCCGCATCGAACGTGTGCAGAAATCATTCATTCGCTTTGCTCTTCGGCACCTACCGTGGAATGATCCTGTCCATCTACCTGCATATCCAGAACGATGTCAACTAATTGATCTGGAACTGCTATCGGCAAGACGGCTGAAATTGCAGCGGCTGGTTATATTCGATATCGTCCAGAATAACGTCGACTGTTCGGATCTTCTCCTGCAAGTATCACTGAACGTTCCACAGCGTCAGCTGCGGTACTCAGCACTTATCGCAGTTCCCGCACATAGAACATGTTATGGTCATAACAACCCGCTCAGTTCTTGCCTCAGAGCTTTCAACAATGTTAGTGATTTGTTTGATTTTAATGTGTCCAAAAATTGTTTTAAAAATAGGATTAAAAACATAGCATAAGTTAAACTAGTCTGTACGACACTGTCGAAGACGAAGAACAAATAAATGTCTGCTGCTAATAGTGTTCGCGTTTAATTTGGCTTGGTGAAATGGATGTGTGTAAGGTCTTTCTATTAGTGATCTCCCAGTTACATGTGTAGGTCCGTGCACTATTTTTTTTATTCTTAAGAAAAACAAATTTGTATATGTATTTGTAGTAGTCTACATCGGTTGATGAAAATAAATAAACAAATAAACAAATAAACAAATGAAACGTTCCAGTTTCGGATGTAATGAACGATTCTCGCGCAACACGAGAAAAGGGCCAACAGTTGTTGATCGATTTTCTCTTTCGCGAATCCGACTGCAAATAAATTTTCCATTGAGTGTGTTGTTTCAGGCGCAAGCTGACATCATCTTCTGTCGAACTGTGCTGCGAGCTTAGCGAGAAATTCGTTTATGTAGCTGTAGTAAACCAAAGAGAAAGTCGATTAAGAGAATCGATCAACGAGGATAAGCCCTTTTCAAATATTACGCAATAATTTTCTTCTGATGCTGACTCAATCACTTGAATACGAAACTGCTCAGTAGCTGCACCGAGGCAAAAGAACGTAAGAATTCCATAAGAACCACTTATGAATTTTAGCCACAAGAAATCGGTATGAATTTCATAGATTTGCCTTATGAAAAATAATGTTGACAAAAAATAATAACATGGAGCAGACTGGAACCGAACCATGGACGTAGAAATTACGGGTCTTATGTCTGGACCACTCGTCTGTCGACGCTTGGGTAAATGGAATGGCTAAACGCGTATAAGAGCTACCTTATGTTAGACGAAAATCTTTCATAAGTCGCGCTTATGAAATTCATATGTGTCGTTCATAAGTCGAGCCTTATGAAATTCTTAAGTCTATTTGCCTCAGTGTGCTCAGATGGACATCGCGTTAAAAAAATGGGATGGCAGAAATTAGGCAAAATATGAGTTGCCTTCTTAATTAGTTCGAAATTGGATGATATGAGAAGTTCATTTTTAAAAATTAATGCAGAAAAAGAATTAGCTGTTACAATGATCAGCGCAGTGTGTCTAGGACGATTCAGTTAGAATCGGACCAAAATACCAGACCCAAAAAAACGTAAAATACAGAATAATAATAATGAAGAGGATGTTTTTCAAGAAAATCCGAGTTTCGCGGATGTTGTAAAAAGATCTAGTCGTGCTAGTAATCAGAAAAACAGTAACAATATCAAACCAATTATTTGTAAAACTCGTAATTGTGATTAAACCTAAAGAGTCCAAACAAGCTTGCGAATACACTCGCAAGTTTT